TAGTGTTAACAGTCTCGCAACTGAGCAACACAAGAGGCTAACAATTGCAGTTGAGCTAGTTGCTACCATCTCCATAATTTTTATAAATGAACCAACTTCAGGGCTAGATACAAGAGCTGCTACTGTTGTGATGAGAACAGTTAGGACCACTATTGACACAGGAAGAACAATAGTGTGCACCATCCATCAGCCATGCATCGACATATTTGAAGCTTTTGATGAGGTAAGAACTATTGAAACATATCAAGAATGCTCTTCCTTTCTAATTTAATTACTATCATGAATGAGACACTATAACACATGAGGTTACAACTTTTCCTAATGAAGCGAGGAGGCAAAAAGGTATATGTGGGGCCATTGGGTATCCATTCTTGCCATCAAATCAAGCATTTTCCTAATGTTCATAATATTTAATTTGCTCATGCAAGTTTAGATGCACAGATTTTCGTTTGAGCTATTGAATTCCTCTCTTTTTTATTAGGAAAAGTTCTCTCATTTGGTTAAAATAATTTTTTTTAGTTTAATTGTGAACAAACACAGGCTAAAATTTCTTTGATTTGGTTAAAATTTCTCTGAGTTAGTTAAAATCATGCAAGAATGAACATTTCTTTTGAGTATGTTGTTTCAATTAGCTTGGAAATGGAAACATATCGGAAATATTTCGAAAACATAAGAGAAATGGAAATAAATTTTTATCTTCTCTTTTCAATCTCCCCTTTTCTTTTTCTCTTGTTTGTCATTATATTCAATTTTTTCTAGTTTAAAATTGTGAACAAACATAGAGAAATTTGTAAAATTTATCTGATTTGATTAAGATTTCTTTGGTTTTGTTAAAACAATTTATGTGGTTTAAAATCATTGTACTAAAATTTTTCTAGTTTGGTTAAAATAATTTTCTCTTATTTAAAATTGTAAACAAACACAGAGAAATTTGTAAACAAAGCCATAGAAATTCTTTGTGAACAGAGCCAGAGAAATTTCAGTTTTCTCTGAATTTCTTCTCTGGTTTAAACCTAGAGAAATTCTTTGGGATCAAAATTTCTCTGGATTGATGTTAAGGATTTTAGACATTATGAAAATATTAGATATTATTTATATTATAAAATCTTAATATCAGGGACCCTAAAAAAAATCCCCCTATATATATTTACAAAATAAAATAAAATAGTTAAAATAAAAATATTTAAATAAAAATTATATATTTAACATAAAAAAAATAAAATTTTCTTAAATAATTTTAAATATTTTAAAAAACTAAATCAAAAAAATTTCAAAATACAAGTTAAAATTCTAAAACTCAAAATTCAAAATACAATTCAAAACTCTTTTCAAAATTCAAAACTCAAAACTCTTTTTAAAATTTAAAAATTAAAAATTCTTTTTAAAATACTTTTTAAAACTCATAACTAAACAATTTTTTTATTTTCAAAATTCAACTTACAACTACACACTTAAATTATAACTCTACACTCAAATTATAATTACAAAATTAATTATAAAACTAAACCAACGGAGCCTGTCCGGTGGGTGGCCCGTGGTCCATCCCAGACACACGCACGAGTCATTAGGTCGAAGGGTCCCATGGTGCTTTGCTCCAAACGACAAAACCGACAAAAGTGGGACCCAAAATTACTACTGGCTTCGAGGTAGGTAGCGCCACGTGCAACGCCAGTGAGCTCCGAAAAGGGGGTAAAATTGCATTTTGGCCCTTTATGTTTTGTCATTTCTCCTTTCGATTCTTAAAATTTTCATTTTTTTCAGTTCATAGTTTAATTTACTCTAAAAACTAATTATGTTTTGTCACTGTGAATGTTACATGTCAATATGAATATTTACATTGTAAACGGGCCGAGTCGGGCCCGTGGGTGGGTTTCGGGCCGCCCACGGGCCGCGGGCCAAATTTACATTCCTATCAATGTGAATGTTAACATGTCAATGTAAATATTCACATTGTAAACTGGCCGGGCCGGGCCAGCGGGCGGATTTCGAGCCGCCTACGGGCCGCGGGTCAATTTTACACTTTTATCAACGTGAATGTTAATATATTAATGTGAATATTCACATTGTCAACGGGCCGGGCTGGGCCGGGCCCGGGCAGCCCACGGGCCGCGGACGGGTTTCGGGCAGCCCACGGGCCGCGGGCCAATTTTACACTTCTATCAATGTGAATGTTAACATCTCAATGTGAATATTCACATTGTTAACGGGCCGGGCCTGCCCCGGCTCGGGGGCAAGCTTCGGACCGTCCACGGGCCACGGAGCAATTTTACATTCTTACCAATGTGAATGTTAAAATATGAATATTTACAGCCCGCCCCGCCCCCGGCAACGGGCGGGCTTCAGGCCGCCTACGGGCCGCGGGCCAATTTTATATTCCTATCAATGTGAATGTTAACATGTCAATGTGAATATTCATATTGTAAACGGGCCAGGCCTGGCCTGCGGACGGGTTTCTAGCCGCCTACGGGCCGCGGGGTAAATTTTACACTTCTATCAACGTGAATGGTAATATGTTAATGTGAATATTCACATTGTCAACGGGCCGGGCTCCTCTCGGGCAGCCCACGGGTCGTGGGCCAATTTTACATTTCTATCAATGTGAATGTTAACATGTCAATATGAATATTCACATTGTCAACGGACCAGGCCCGCTCCGGCTCGGGATGCGAGCTTCGGACCGCCCATAGACCACGGGCCAATTTTACATTCTTACCAATGTGAATGTTAAAATATGAATATTTACAGCCCGCCTCGCCCTAGGCAACGGGAGGGCTTCGGGCCGTCCACGGGCCGTGGACCAATTTTACATTCCTATCAATGTGAATGTTAACATATCAATGTGAATATTCACATTGTAAACGGGCCGGGCCAAGCCCGCGGGCGGGTTTCGGGCTGCTTACGAGCCGCGGGTCAATTTTACACTCCTATCAACGTGAATGTTAATATGTTAATGTAAATATTCACATTGTCAACTGGCCGGGCTAGGTCGGGCCCGTCCCGGGTAGCCCACGGGCGGGTTTCGGGCTGCCCACGGGCCGCGGACCAATTTTACACTTCTATCAATGTAAATGTTAACATGTCAATGTGAATATTCACATTATCAACGGACCGGACCGGCCTCGGCCCGGGGACGATCTTCGAACCGCCCACAGGCTACGGGCCAATTTTACAGTCTTACCAATGTGAATGTTAAAATATGAATATTTACATCATAAAATTGCTAACCGTTCAAAAAATATTTGTAAGGGTATCAAAATTAAATATAAGGGTATAAGAGTCTAAAAAAAAGTGTAAATCAAGAAAAATGATTTTATGAAATAAAACTATACATATATGAGACTAAATGAGTTAATAAATTTCTTCATGGACTTTTTGGGTTAAAACACTTCTAAATGAGATTTATCAATAAAAATCTCAAATAAAAACATCAAAAATTAGAGTGAAAAAATAACTAAATATAAAAAGGGCATAGTGTAAATTAATTGAAAAACAGACGAGTAACATTTGTACAAAATTTTAGCAAGTGCAACATCTTCCTTTCCAAAGTGATTGATGAACATTTGCATTCTAGGGAGGTTGCAAGTAGGAATGGCAACGGGGCGGGACGGGGCCGGGGATTGCCCTCCCCGTCCTTGATCCCCGATTGAGAAAGTCTCCCCGTCTCCGGCCCCGATCCCCGACGGGGAACCTATTATCGGTCCCATCCCCGTCCCCTAACGGGGATCAGGGTTCCCCGACCCCGAAAATTTCCCGGCCCAAACAAATCTGTTTCAACAACACCATACATGTACAAATCTATTTTCGTTCAAAAAAAAAAAAAAAAAAATCTGTTTCAACACATGCTGTGTAATACATATACAGAGAAAAATCTGTTTCAACACCATACATAAAAAAATCTGTTTCAACACCATACATGTACAAATCTATATACAACACCATACTGTTTATATATTTACACCTGTGTAATAAAAATAAAAAATCTGTATATATACATACTGTTTAAACACATATAAAATACACATACAAAAATCTGTTTGAACGACGAAGGAGAGGATCGGCGTCGCGGAGAGGACGATCGGCGTTGAGGACGACTCTCGGCATCCCAGACGCAGATCGGAGGAAGGCAGTGACGGAGATCGGGGTGAGGCAGTGAGGTCGGAAAGAGGGAGACGGAGAGAGGGAGATCGGCGTGAGGCAGTGATGAAGATCGGAGGGAATGAAGGAGATCAGAGGGAGGGACATCGGAGGGAGCCTCCCTAGAGAGAGGAGAGGCTTTTAGAGAGAGAGAGAGAGAGAGAGAAGCAGACAGACTAACTGAGAGTCTGAGTCCAGAGGCCTAAACCTATAATATAATATATATAGTATAATAATCCTAAACATATAATATATATATATATATATGTTCAAAATATTTTAGTTAAATTATTCAAATTATGACAATTACTATATGTATAATTAATGTGTTGGATTTTTTTTTTTTGCCAAAATGTTAGAACCTTCATTGATATATTAGAACCTTAATTAATGTGTTGGATTGAATGCCCTCATCATCATGTGAATTTAGCAGGTATTGACTAAAACAATTATATGAATAATATATATAGTTTATATATACATACATATATATATATAGATATATCATATATATACATATATATATATATAATATCTCTCTTCTTAGATGTACTCAAAAAAGTTTGCATCCAAATAAAATAGTTTTAAAAATTTCCTGCAAAAGTTTAAAAATAAAAATAAAAATTGAAATTGGAGGTATTGAGCCCCATAGATTTTCATATTTCAACTATGTGCAATGTAAACAACTGCTTTCAAGATCCATGGTCAGCACACAATAAAATAAAACACCTTCACTTTAAAACAACAATAATGGCGCAGTTCAAAAAAATGCATTTATAACTGGCTAGGACATAAGGTTTTAGTAATTTCTTTCCTTCCAGTCAAAAAAGAGGGTTTTCACAATTATAAACAGTATAATCTTCATATAGAATAATCAAAATAACAAAATTATTGTAATTATTTATCAATTTTCCCTCAGTTGTGGCTGCAGAAGAATATAAATTCCTATATCAAAACAATGAGGCCATCTCGAACAGCTTTACCCCCAAATACATTCACTCCGGTAAACTGGTCTACTCTATAAAAAAAATAAAAAAAATTATCAAAGAAATTATTCAGACAAGCAGGTCAAATATAGAGCTTCCCTCTATTACTTCAAAAGGAAATATTGGAAGAATAAGAACATGCATGAAAAAGGGCAAAATGAGTAACATTCTCATATAATAACTAGTTCAACTTTTCATTTCTTCTCTGCTGGTGACTGCTGATTCTGGAGAGCTGCAATCAGTACATGGCTTGCAAACTGGAGGAGGGAAGTCTGAAACACTAATCCGGAATGTTTGCTGCTTCTCTTCATTTGAGGGAACATGGAGGAGAGCTTCCATAATAAGGATTTCCCAGTCACGTGACCGTAAAAATGAAAACCAGCTGTCATCTGTTCATGATAGAGGATATATGATCATAACAATGACGTAGGTTATGAACGTAGCTTAAATGTTTTGAGGGTTGATATAATGTTTAAGCTATCGTTTTGACAATAAAGCTTCACCAATGCATATACCCAATATAATCTTTCATGAACTCTAGATTTTCCAGTGTACAAATTCTAGGAAGATTGGAAACTGTCACATTTGAAATTAGCATAGTTTGGCAGTTCAGTTTTTTCATGTATAATGATGTAAAAAACAATGTAGAAGAAGTACATGGACAGAAGCAAACAAAACAAAGGTACAAACCTCCATTACGAACCGCCTTCAACTGAAAGATTCCAGAACCTTGGGGTCCAGAAACGGGAAATGAGCAAGATACAGAATGTCTCTTGTGAGCAACTGCAAGTGATGCATTGTACCAAGGACCTCTTACAATAGGCTCCCCAATGGCATCTATAATTGCCTGGTTTTTACTAGCTCTCTCCATGGCCTTGCTGAAAGAATTTAGCAACAGTGAGAATAAAATTAAGACATGTATTATGTATAAATGACACACTTGATCTCAAATGCAAATCTTATACTAATTGAAGTTAGTTCATGAGTCAAAGAAGATGAGGAGAGTTTTTCTTTATGTTCCATAACCTTCATTCTTAAAAGGTAAGAGATATCATAAGATATTACATCTATCAGAGATGCAAACATACTGATTTCACAATTGCCAACTTTCCAGTTTGTCAATTTCATTCAAACAGAAGTCTAGAAGAGAAGATGTAAAAAATCTGAGCTGTCTCTGGATCTTGGCAGCTGATGAGTAAATTTACACCTCTCCCAAACTCAATTCGAATCCAAGTAATTCCTTGCATCTCTACACCATAACTAAAGGGTTTCATGATCATAAACAGCACAAAATACTTAAAAGAGTCTCTTACTAAAAAAAGAATAACACTAAAATGAAAATTAAAAAAATAAAACTCTCACTATGACGGGCAGCATGGTAGGACGTCATAAAGATTTGTTTAGCCAACCCAAATTACACAGGATACTATGTTAAATAGGGTTTTGGACAAATAACAAGAGAGCTCATATATTTCTTAGTCTGTCTGTTATTGGTACAATTGACGTGGTGTGGACCTTGCCCTCTATTTCTTTCCATAATGACATCTTATTCTGAAGGTTGAAGAAACCATCAGCGGTTAAAATCACCACATGTGTGCATGTAGGTGAGTATTTTAATGACGCAACTATGCTGTTAAATAACCAGCATGACTCTGTGCTGCAATTGCTAATCAAAGAGCAAACAAATTGTTTTCTCACTTTTGATAATGCCTTCCAGCCCTAAATCTGGATATTACAACATCTCACACTCAGCTTCCACCAGAAAATAAGAATCCATAATTTAATAAAATTACAGTCAATTAATATAACAATATCTTATATATTGCTGCACCTCAAGTTTTGGCCTGGGTTTGAAAGGAGAATATAGCATGCATAGCAGTGAGAAAATGACTGCTTTAGTATGTGTTACAACTTCATAATGGGAGTCAAATTCATTGTTCAAAACAAGAATAATAGCATATTTGAGTAATTAAAGATCCACATATAATCCTGATTAAATGGATTATATGTGAGCCTAAACCATAAACCTTAAAAATAATATAAATGTGTGAGGTACAAACAAATGCTTGAATAGTCATACAATTTTTCAATTTTCCTCTAGTCAATACCTTGGTTTATGATCCCAGTACCAACAACTAACTTTCCAAAGTTATGTATTTCACATCATGAAAAATCATGCTCTAAATTTAAGCATGATTACGTCAAAACCATCAACATGTTTCTTCCCATCATAAAGCAAGTACAGTGTCACACACACACACACACACACAGATCTGACTGAAATTTGGTACATTTTCACGCTACTAGACTGTTCAGTCTAAGCTAGAAAATGCAAGAGACTCTATTTTCCACAAGAAGAGAAAAATGAGACCTACTTGTTAACTAAAAAGCACGGACACGTGACACAACATAGACATGCCAACACAACAATTTCAAAAAAATTCAAGACACAACAAGCGGAGAACACAAAAATGTATAATTTTATATATTTATTATATGTCATATATATATATATATGAATATATCATTTAAAGAAAATAAAAAAATGTAATATAACACTAATTTTTATAAATCTACATTATTTTTGTTTTATCTCTGTATCCTAAGTTATCTTTGACCCCCACTGGTAAAAAGGATGTATATAAAAAATTGATTATGCCCCTTCATATGATAGTGGACACTCTTTTAGTCGTCTTCTCGTAATCCTCAATACTTCTATTGTCTCAATAGCATTCAAAAATGCATATTAATTCTTTAATGCATCTAACTTTTTGTTCGTATTAGGACAACTATTCTTGTAATTACCCTTTTTTTTCCCTCCTTGAACAAGACCTCAAGGAAATGTATTGAAAAGAAAAAAATTGAGCTCACTCTGCATCGCTATACTTACTGTTTTGGAACGAAAATATACCATGTCTTGGAACTTGCGCTCTGAAAAGCGTAATTCACTAAGGTATTAGCGTTTTTTGGTAACAATATTTTTTTATACATTCAAATGAAGTATGTTATCTTTGGCAAAGAAATAAGAAACATTACTCCCACTCCCCACCCGAAGGGAGAAACTTTGAATTTGCCACTGATCACTTTTAAGATATAAAATCTGAAAATTAATTGCATAAAGGATCAATGCTAAAAAGGCATACCCTTGCCTAAGATATAAGCTTTATCATCTTCGGGGTAGCCTGAAATTTTTCTTACTCGTATGTTACCATATTTGAATTGGATAAAACACTAAGAGCCCATTTGGTACTGTTTTTGTTTTCAAATATTTTTAAATGTGGAAATATAAATACATTTGGGGATTGTCTTCATTTTCAAAAAATGGAAACAATATACAAAATTTTAGGAAACAAGAAAAAGGTGTTTTCATTTGTTTTCAAAACAAGTTATCATTTCTTCATCCCTCTCCCATCCATCTGGCCACCATTGCCACCAACTCCAGCATCTACCACCACCTCGGCAACCTAAGAAGTACAAACACTTCTAAGAAGGTGACATATCCATGGACACTCTCTGATAAGTATTTGACACTCTTTTTTGTGTGTCCATAATTAAAAACAAAAATCTTAATTTCAGATGTGTTTGACATTCATTTTGCGACGTGTCTATCACTTTTTGGGCATGTCTATCTCTAAAAGTTAAACATGAGACCAACAATTGGACATTTGCTAAACACATGATTTTCAAAGTTTTAGAATTTGATATAAATATCTTATACTCTTAAAATATGTATAATTATTAAGAATGATTCTATAGAAGTTTTACATAAATTAAATGAAAAATATACATAAATGTATTAGCAGATGACTAAGAAGGATAATGAAAATGTTGCACGTATATATGTTTGCTATAGTTTGTCTAATTATTAACTATTATGGTTCAATAATAGTCTAAAAATTCATGTAAAAGAATTGGATACAAGATTTATTTAGTATAAAGTAATTATTTAATTTTGTATATATTATACATGTAGATGTATATAATTACACAATATAATATATTCCTTGATAATGAATTATCGAGATATAATTATTGGTGGCATGTCTGAACCGAACCGTGTCTGTGTCATTTTTTTAAAAAAAATTTCATGTTGTGTCATATTCATGTCTCATGTCCATATCTATGTTGCATAACTGACAACTTATCAAACATGTTTTCTTTTCTTTTCTTTTTTCAAAAAAAAAAAAACGTTAATTTTTCTGTAAATCATCTTTGAATTGAAGGAAAATATAAACCAAACCAAGCCTTAAGTCCTAGCAAATAGGGTCGGCTACATAAACCCTTCTTCTCTAAGCGGAAATATAAACCAAGCCTTATATTGAAGGAAATATAAGTCAAAAAAAGGAAATAGATAAAGTCCAAGCATCAGTCCTAAGTTTTAAGACATAAAGAACCAAGGTAAAAGGATTTTTTTGTGAATCATCTTTTGTTCTTGTAAATTTTTCGGGAGGGCTTTCATTTGGTGAGGGTTTATAGCCATTTTGTATGCACCCCATGTAAAGAGTTTATACTGTTTTTGGTGGTTTTTTAATATAATTTTTTTTATTTATCAAAATAAGTTAAGCAAAAATTGTAGCTCCAAAGAAAAAACACAAGTATATGTCGATAAATTTCAGTCCTTTTAAAAAATATATATATATATATATATAGGGGCAACCAAGATATGTCAAAAGAAATAAGGTAACAAAAATTTTGAGAATCAAACACTCCCCCATAAACCAAACAGAGTTCCAATTACGCAAAATTGTTACTTTGTACATTGATTCAAACATGTCATTCTAAAGTTGTGATTTCAAGCAATTTCAATAATTTTAGGTGCACAATCACAAGACTCACAAGAGTGAAGAATAATGGAGAAAACGCACCAGCTACAGCCATGATAAATGATAAGGTCATCAAGGGCACTCAAAGCAACACCGCCGGTGAGGCAAATCAAGGCGCCGGAAACCGCCTTGCGACCCCATGATTTGGTCTTCGGTTCCGACTTCACCGAGCTGCTGCTGTTGCTGCTGCTTACACCAAGGAATTGTATCAGACACAGCATATTATTCCCGTAATGCTAATTACTTTTTAAACTATTAAGCTGTATTTGGCTCAAAGATTTCGGGAGAGATTTGGAAAGAAAAGGAGAAGGAAATATATTCACACCCTTTTCTCTTTTCCCTTCTAAATCCGAACCCAAATCCCTACCAAACACAGTGCTAATAATTGAGATCATTGAGACTTGTTAATTCAGTCTTTTGTATATGATATATGATACAAAACACAAAATTAGAGCCCCATAGATAAAAACACCAATGCACTTTCTTGTTGCCCTTTGATCAGAGAGAGAGAGAGAGAGAGAGAGGAGGGTTATACCTTGATGGAGTTCTCTTCAGGAAGGAGATTAGCCTCTTCCCTAACATCCCTCCGCTTCGCTCTCTCTCTCTCTCTCTCTCAACAGTGTGATTTGGAACCCTAATAGTGCCGTCACTTTTTTTCAGTTGAGAACTGTTCAGTACTGCTCCATGCCTCCAATGCGCCAACTCTATAATGGGAAAAGTAAAAACTAATTTTTCAATTAAAAAATAATAATAATTAATTTGTGTGGTTTCAATTGTTTGAATTTAATTTTTTAAAATTTAAGTTTTTTTTATTTTTTATATTTTTAATGAATATTTTAATGAATATTTTTTATTTTTTTAAATACAACTTACTTAAATGTATCTAATTAGTAAAATATCTGTGAAAAAATATTTTAAAAAATTAATAAATATGTTTATTAATTTTTGTTTAATTTTTTTCAATTAATTTTTTGTTTAATTTTTTTCAATTAATTTTTTTCAATTGTTTAATTTTTGTTTAATTTTTTTCAATAAATATATTTTTAATTTTTTGTTTAATTTTTTTCACTTTTTTAATTAAAAAATATTAAAAAATTAATAAATATGTTTTTTAAATACGAAAATTAAAAAATTAAAAAAATTCACACATATTATACTTTTTAAGTATATATTTATGTTGAGTGTGTTTAAAAATTAAAAAACTGCTTAAAATATTTAAAAAATTCAATCAAAATAGAAAAATACGAAAAACAAAATAGTATAATTTTTTAAAAAGTGAATTCCGGAAATGGAAACCAAATAGAGTGAATAATAACAATAATAATAAACTCTCAAACTATTTTTTCAGAGCCTTCTACAAAAATAAAATTTTAATTTGTCAATTTAAATTTAAATTTTTTAATTTATTTTCGAGTTAAATTATTCGTCTATATTCATTGAGTAATTATTAAACTCAATACAAGTATACATAAAATATTTAAAATACTCTTTTCATTAAGTTTAATAATTAAAATATCTTTTTTTCAATTCATTTTACTTGACAAAAATAAATAAATGATTAAATTAAAAAAATTTAAAAAACTAAATTTTGTTTGAAGATTTTAATTCATATGACACATGACTTTCTCTCCATTAATCGTTCATTAATTGTATAAATAAAAAATGAGAATGTTATGATTAGAATTTTTATAGTATAAAACAAATATATTATTGTTGGCATTGGAAATTACAAAATCCGCTGTAGCACAACATTAAAACCATCAATTCAATTGTGCCTCCGTTTGGGAAGTGGGTTGGCTTTTTGGCTTTTTGATTTTTTTGACTATTTTAGCCTGGGCTTAAAAGCTTGGTTTGGAAAGGGCTTTTTGACTTTTTGACTTTTTTGAGTTTTTTTGTGAGAGAAGAATGTAATGATTATGGATTGGATGTGATGTTATGTTTGTTATGGCTAAAATAGCCTTTTTTTTTTTTTTTTAGTTTGTGATCACATAGACACGTAATGTTATGTAAATACTAACAAATAACTTTGAGAAATATTATGGTGCACATACATCTTATAATTAAAAAGAAAAATTATATAATTTCATTTTTTTGAGTCATAATTGAAAAATATATAATACATATATATATATATATATTATAACTAAACACAAAATCAGATATAACTAAAAAATTCATGAGTAATAACTAAAGTAATGTCATAATTAAAAAAGAAAATGATATAACAAGAGATGCATATGATATACTCTTTTTAAAGAATATATATTAGAAATTCCCTAAACCCTAACCCTAATAAGTTTTTATGTCTACAATTTTGTATTTTTATTTTATTTTTCTTTTTTTGCTATTGATCTAAAACATCACTAACTTTATGGAATGTGACATTAGCAACGAAATAGAGGAAAATGATCATAAAAATCAAATACATTTTACTTGACCTTCAAAAACTAGCTACATTTAATTAGTAAATTTGAGTTGAGATAAAATACTTAACTATATATGTCTAGTCTAGTGGGTTAAAGCTGGAAAAAAAAAAAAAACAAATGGGTCATATTAGATATTTTAACTAATTGGTATTATACTGTATAGGAGATGAACTTATAGTAACTATCTAATATTCTGAAGAAGTTAAGAAGACTTTTAATGTGTACATTTTCTTTTTTCTTTTTTAATGGGGAGGCATATGCACCCTCTTTTAGTGTGTAACGTATACCTAATTATAATTTTGTAATCTTTTGTTAAATGAAATAGAATAGAATAGAATAAAATGATCATCCCATAAGAATATTCATTTTTATGTTTGATTCATTAAACAAATGATAAAAAAATATATTAAAAATAAAATCAACCCTCAACATTGTACCATTATAAGAGAATGAGTCACAAGCCTAGTGATATTTGGCTATTGACCCATAATACTTGATGATGGTTATGAACTTAATAGTCATCGTGTATAATATTGGTTTCAATAAGCTATTTTTTTTAAAGAAAAATCAACAATGTGTAATAGTTGATATGGTATGCACATCTTATAAAAGTGTGTATAATAGTTTTTGTGGGGACACTTTTTCATAAATTTCTTTTTATTTATTTATGTTCCATTTAATTCATATTATTTTTTTAAATTTCAATAAATCCTACGAATGAGATAATCATCAAAACACCCCTAATAATATTCACATTTACAGTGTAAATGTTTCGTGATGTTAATGTTCACACCGTCAATGTGAATGTCATCATATTAATCTGAATGTTCACACTGTCAATATAAACATTTACACGTTAATGTAAATATTCACATGATAAAATATGAATGTTCACATTACCAAATTACTAACCTTTTAAAAAATATTCGTAAGGATAGAAATGTCCATAAAATACTTTAAATATGAGAATTAAGATTTGGTAAATCAAATGTTCAAATAATAAGATTTATTGGAATACAAGAATATCTTATGGACTAATTGGGATGCAAACACTTGAAAAAGAATTTTCTAATAAATTTTCTTTTTTTAAAAAAAACTTGACATTTTTTTTAAAATGTCATAAAAAATGTGTTGTCTCTGAGAAATTATTTAGCGTTATTAGAAAATAGAATAAATGCCTTTTACAAATAGAATTTACTTATATTATTGCAGCCATTATATTGAATTTTTTTTCTTATGCCAGGTGGAGGGAGCCCCTCAGCTGCCCAGAGGAATCAATCTGCTTGGTTTTGAAGTCAAGGAACAAGGAGGAAAGAAGGGCACTATCCAGTTCTAATAATACTTGTCTGACATTCTTTTGACTCTTAACAGCCACTCCACTCAACTCACTCACACATGTACTTGATTTTTTATTCTGTTTTTCCCTCCTTGAATTAAAACTCCAAGGTTCTTGCACCATATTGTTTCCAAGTGCTGAATACCAGCAGGAGCCATTTGAAGTTTGTTTGTAAACAACTAAAAGTGAGGACTTGTTTCCATGGGAGTTCTGTTTGAACCTGAACTTGCATTTATCTTTCATGTATTTTAATAAATATATCATGTTATTTTTTACTTCATCTGAATATTATATTATGATGTTTTTGTCAATTTTGAAGTGTATCCAAGGATGATGGTGAAGAGAGAAGAACAAAATGACTCATTTACATTGCCATATAACAGCGACTCTATTCCACTTCCTAAGAATGTTTCCCAATCTCCTTCTTTACTTGATTCCACTGGTACTACATTTTCATTCCTAGTTCACACACACACACACACATATATATATGAACAGTTGAATTTCATTGTGTCGTGATGATAAGGGAAACATTAAGACCATGTTTGAATGATGGATTTGTGGAGGAAAGGAAAAAGGAACGAAAAAGTAAAATGAATTGGAAGTTTTTTTCTTTTTTTTTTCATTTTCCCCTTCTCCTTACCTTCCACTCCACAGATCTATGATCCAAACACCATAACCGGGTCATTTGGTGTATCATTTTCCTTTTTGCAACCCAACATGTGGTACAAAATGGGTAATTTCCTTTTCCTGGAAAAATGAAAAATGTTTGCAACAATTACATCAAGTTCATTATCAATATCCTCTTGACACATTTGCCACTACTGGTTCCAAAGGGTACTTGTCATCTTCATGTACAACATCTAATCTTTTGCAGCGAAAGAAAATCAGAATGACTCTCTGCCATCAGGTGACAAAATTCCAAAACCTTATGTCCAAAAATTATCAATGACATTGTTTCCTCTCTCCAAAGGTTAAATCTCCAATGCAAACATGATTTTATTTATTTATATAAAAAGAACTTGTGGCTATGTATTCAAGACAAAGCATGCATCTTGATATATCAGGGCCAAAGAAGAACAGCAGACATACCAGAGAGCTCCAAGAAGATACCAAACTACCTATCAGCTCTAGTTCCATTCTGCGTCCTCGTGCTGTTGTATCTAGTCCCGGTAATAAACTTTCTCAATTTTCATTATAAATCATTTTCCACCTTAGTGCGAGATATGTTGCTAACACCACTGCACATTTGCATACAGACAATGATAAGATGATCGGAAACCAAAACAAGGTAATTAGCAAAAGGCCATTGGCTTTAAAGAAACAAAGTTTGGAGCAATACTCTACCTCACAAGTTAACGCCATCCATGATAAAGCAGCAAGTCCTTTAAGCATGAGACTAAACACAAGGGAAGCTACTCAAAGTAAGAGTGATCATAAGCAATGTAATTCGACTAAGCCAGCAGTTTCAACACAGAAAAGAAGCATTACCTTACAAGGGGAAACCAAACTGCATGACGACTTAAATATGAAGTAATTTTCATCGGGTTTTTCTTCTCAGAATTTCAAAGTTGGAGAGAAGTTCGTGGATTTAGAGAAATTATTATCTGAAGTACTAAATGCTTTGTTCCCTTCCCATTGCACATTTTGTGTGTGTTATGAAGGCTTGGGATAATTTCCACCCTTTATTTATCCTCATTTTGCTCTAAATTAGAAATCCTAAACAGACACCATACAAATATATATTTATATATATATATATACTAGCACAAATTCAACTTTCTTCCTGCTAACCAGTGGGTTGCATTATATTCATAAATGAGACTTTAACTTAATTTAAATTCGACGTAACTGACCACAGAGAAGTATAACACAATTCTTTTATTGTCACCAACCGAGTGTCATCAAATTTCCATTACACATAATACATGCAACAAAGCAATAGAAATTACTAGCAACATGCATACAATTACCAGTTCATTGTTGGAGACAACAGTGTACAAATATCTTTCATAGTCATAGTCATTGCACCTTTTCTCATCTTTCCTTCAACACTGCAACTTCAAGTTTAAGCTTCAGAAGTAAGTTTCAATCAACTATTCTTCAAATAACAAATCGAACACAAAACATCACTTCAGAAACTAGTTGAAAACCTTTAGCGCACAATTTTTCGAACAAATAGAACTTATGCTTAAAGACCCAGCTGAAATTCTTAATGATATGCTCTATTGTTGCTGAATCAATCCCTCCAAACAATTTCACTTATTTGTCAATATTTTGAGGCTGAAATCATGTGACTGTCACCATCTCAAGAAATGTTCAAGAGTCAGTAAAAGTACCTAATAGATCACTACCTCTATAATTTGTCACTTCAATTCGATCTTCAAACTCAACCCACGTGCCCAATTGACCCAATCCAATTAAATCAAACCCCACACTCCTCTCTGACGGCGAGAATGGCAACGAAGCCCAAAAGATCAACTTTGAAGCCTCTTTCCAATTCACCTTTCTATCCTTCAAAGCAATTCGTGCATCCCTGAACACTGGAAGACACTTGTCTGTGGCAAATTTACTACAACTTGCTTTTGAAGCCTCAAGACAGACCGCCATTTCTCGCTCTTCGCATTTTTCTCGATCTGCAAAGTCTGTTTTGCCTCTGCTGAAGAGAGATTTCCACCATGGGGGCTTGCACTTGCTCGACGCACTGATGGCACAGCCAATTCGTGCTCCGGCCTCACATTGCTCTGTGAGTTTGGATTCGCAGGCTTTATATGCAGAGGTCCAAGATTGGGCATCTCTGAAAGCGAGGACAAATGGACCAGCTGACGGGTCGTCGGCTGAACCAGCTGGGAGGGGTCCTCGTAGGAGAGGCACCGGACAGTCAAAGGTGATGATGGTGGACGAAGGTGAATAGTCATCGATGTTAGGTGGTGGAGTGACCATTCTTGGGATTTGATGGAACAGAACTCAATCCGGATAATGCAAATGACAAGTTTATATTCTTCTCATTTTTAGTGTGCAATTTTATCCTGTTTGATAAATAAATTATAACAAATAAAACGTTAGAAGTAATATTAAGAGCAACACATAGATAGAGGCAATGCAATGAAAAACAAAACAAAAACAAGATGGTGGTTTTCAACATCATTGTTAGTATCTTATGATTCACAATTAGATACAAGTTTCCAACCAAAATGATTCGATTCATGCTGTTGAATCTTAATGAGTGAATCTTACAATTGCGATTCACTATGAATGGTAACGATTCATTTTTGTTTAAGTAATACATGAAATGACGTCATTTTTGCAAAATAAAAAATTGATCTATTAATTATATTGATATAATAGTTTTACATGTACACATATACAATTTAGTTCTATTTATATTTATTTCAAAATAAATATTATAGTGTGTATTTTAATCTACACATATACATACATACATAAAATTATAGATTATATTTTAGCAAAAATGATTTATGATTCAATTTGCAATTTGACAACAATGGTTGTAAATTTTGATCCTACCAATTCTTGGTTTCACGACTGTATATAGTATTGTTGAGTTGTTGTGTTCAATTGAAGTGACTCCTCCATCTTCTGTCTCAACTTTCTCAGTATATCTCAGTTCAGGTTGGTTGTCAAAATTTAAAAATAAAAGAAGTAGAGACAAATGGCCCAGCCTATCAATTTGTTTCAAAGCATACCATATATATATATTGAAAACTAGGAATGCAAGTAGCAAAAATCACAGGCATAAATTTTAAATAACTTACCTAACAACATGAGAATTCAATTCTATTAAATTCAACTCAATTCAAGCAGGGCAGAGCAGTGTATAATCAAATTTGCATAAAGTTTAAATATAATCAGAAAATTGAATTTCTTAAATAAGTATATAGCACATATATATATATAATAGAGTGATGTAAAGGGGTAATTTGCTTACACATAAGGGGGTGGGTGTTTCTGAAGAAGGTGAGGTGATAAATTAATAATAGGCTACGGCAACCGCAACGCTGGCTAAGCGTTTAGGGTCGGTCATGATTTGTGCTCTCTTGTCTTGAGGCTGCCCGCACGGTCACAGACAGCCTGGTAAATCTCTCCTAGTTAGGTACCCTCCCCCTCCCATATATCACTTTCTCTTTCCTTACCATATAGATGGTGTGTTTGGATGATGGTTGTTGATGAATTAAAATGAAAAAGTGTGGGGACCTGGACAAAATTGCCCAGATTTTTCTCTGTGGGTGATTGTGTGGTGAAGTTAGGATTGCAAATGAGTCGAGTTGAGCCGAAGGTTAATATGTTTGGGTTTGTTTATGGGTAATTCTATTTACACATCACTACTTATCTTAGTATTCACCATTTAATCAGTTTCCACCCTACACAAATTAAAACATTTAATTTTATCTCAATACACATCATTAATTTTCAGATAATACTAAACTACCCTCATCTTCTCCAACAAATAAATATTGTATACAATTAGAGACTAATGTTAACAATTGCAGGTTTGAAATGTGAATTTTCTTCTTCAATAAAAATACCCAGAGCATAATTCGATTCAACCAAACCATTTACTCATATGATTCTCAACAAGAATACTCAGATCCAAAGCAAACCAGTGAAGATTAAGCAAAGAAACAGACCTTGACACTGTCATAACCAGCGAGGTGAAGCAAAGCGTACTAAAGCATACAACCATGTCCAGCCGAGAGAACAAAGCGATCGCGATTGAAACAGTAAGGGTTCTTCGGATTATACTTCATCAACTCATCGTGTAGTATATGACCCATCGGAGCACAACTCATGGGAAGACCCGGGTGACCCGAATTGGCCTTCTCGACAGCGTCGATTGCGAGGAAACGGATTGTGTTGATCGATTTCTCGACGAGGGCAGTGTCGATTTTGGGGAGAGTTTCGACGGCGGTGAAGGTGCGGACGGGGCGGAGGGAGTTGAGGCGCTGCCGTGAGGTGGTTGGGGAGCGGATGGGGGGGGAGGAGGGAGTGGAAGGGGTCGATTTGAGGCCGGAGTGAGGGAGTGAGGTGGGGAGAGAGAAAGGGAGGGTGGGTTGGTAATTTGGGCCTTAGACCATTCCAACGTTTCACTAAACCTGCCATTAAATTTGAAATTTAAGCTAAGTTTGGCATGATTGAAAAAAGATAAAAAGTGAAAAAGTCATTATCCTATTTAAATCACATCACTTCTCTAACATATCACTTCAAACTCAATCCAAACCCAACTCATATTTCATAAAAAGTCAAAAAATACACTTATTTAGTCTTCCCAAACTAGGCCTTAGTGAAAATGATACTTTTTGAAGTTTCAACAGTTTTATCAAATTGATATTAAATTAAAAATTAAACAAAAAAATTATCAAATTGATAATAGGATACAGATTTCAGCAAATTACTGTTTGTGATCGTTGGAGGAAAGGAACCGGTCAACCAGCCGGTTGCCCGGCCGGTTGACCAACCGGTCGACCACTAAAAGGTTCAAACAGTTCAAATGGGTTGGTTTAAACAATTCAAAAAAAATATATATATATTTTTGCCTTACCGGTCGACCAGTCGGTCGACCACTAAAAGGTTCAAACAGTTAAAATAGGTAGGTTCAAACAATTCAAAAAAAAAAAAAAAATTTGCCTTATTGGTTGTCCTGGGAGCAGATTTGATGAAAATCAACCCTTAGAGCATTCTGTATCAGATTGAGAAAATTGTCATTTTTTTACTCAGATTTGGTGAAAAATTAGGTGAACCGTTGGAGATGCTCTTATTTGGCATGACCTAAAAAAGTCAAGGGCAAATTACATATACCTCCCTCGAGGTTTAGCTAAATTACAGATACCCTCCTGAAGTTTTAGAAATTACAAATATCCCCCGAGGTTTATATTTTCAGAACAAATTGTCCTCTGAGATTTATATTTTCATAACAATTTGTCCCCTAATTTGTTATGCAAATAGTACCTTCAGGGAGTATCTGTAATTTTTCAAACATTAGGGAAGTATCTGTAATTTTGCTAAACCTCGAAGGGGTATATGTAATTTGCCCTAGTCACTATCCTACTTAAGTCATATCATCTTATTTAAGTTATGTCACTTCTCTAACATATCACTTCAAACTCAACCCATATTTTATAAAAGGTCAAAAAGTATATTTATTTAAATCATCCCAAACCACCCCTTGATTGAAGGATAGAGATGTGATGAAAAAAATTTAGAGAAAATATGTGTATTGAGTTAATCAAATGTGTGGAAATAGAATTTTCCTGTGTTTATTAGGATAAATTATAAGTACATCCCTTAAGATTTGTTTAAAATACGAATTATTTCTTGTGGTTTGGAAAATTACAAATAACTCATTGTCAGAAATTTTTATTTAACAAAATTAATTAAAAAAGTGAAATTTTTAACTGTTCACCTGTACAATAATAAAATTATCTGAATTATTAATTAAAATAAAATTTTAATATTATTAAAAACTGTTAATTAACTTGATGATTTATTAATAAATTTCTCTTTTCGTTCCTAGTTTTCCCAAGTGGACCAAGCAAATAGTGGAACTAGGGCCGCAAACGAGCCGAGTCGAATTGATTCGAACTTTAGTATGTTTGGGCTTGTTTATTAAGATTTTAACGAATTTGAGCTCGAACTTGAGTTCAATAAAAATTTAACGAACCGAGCTCGAGCCGAGTTGACTTAGGCTTGACTCGAGTTCGAGCATGTTCACAAGCCTTAACGAGCACCTTAACGAAACAAAAAAATTATAAATTTATATTTGCGTATAAGACTAAAATTACAATTAAAAGTTTGATTGAATAATTATATATATAGTATATATAAACATTCTATAAAAAAAAGTCAATAATTTACCAAAATAATAATATCTACTACCACTATTATATAAATGTACTATCTATAGCTAACTATTATTTACATTTATATTTTTTAAATATATAAACAACATATTTATCTTATTTTTTATATATATTTTTATATTATTTAATATTTAATATATAAATAATAGATATTAAACAAGCCAAGCTTACGAGCCAAACTTTAGAATATTTGTGTTTGTTTATTAAAAATTTAACGATCTCGAACGCAAAAAAAAAAAAATTAACAAACCGAGTTCAAACAAGCTTTTACCAAGCAGAGCTCGAGCCTGTTAACGAACGGATTTATTTATTTGCAGTCACAAGTGGAGTGTAGTGTAGTGTGAGATTCATATATAGAAGAAATCTCAACTATAAAATGAGCGATAAAATGATAATTTTGGATAATTTTTAGGTAGTTAAGTCTGAATTCATAGTGTTACTGTAAAAAAAAAACTAAAAAATGGGTTGGCTTCTCTGGAAGTGCACCTAAATTTGAGAGAACGGGCTCACACTACCCTATTTCGATAATTTGAAATGGTCATTTTATGTGGTCCTTATTGTATATTATTTATAAAAAGAAGTTGATTTGAAAATCCAAATATTTTTATTATATTTTTCGAAAAAAATGAGTAATGTTTCCATTTCATCGTGCTTAACTTAAAAAAATAAATGGTTTATTTTTTGAATATATACTTGCTGTATCAACTACTTTCTTTAAATTTTAAGGGAGGTCATTGTAATTTATCCTTTGTAACTTAAATAAAATAAATAAATAAATAAAAGGCATAAATTTTATTTATTAAAAAAATTACTAAAAATGAAAATAAATTTTATTACAAAAACCTATCAAAGATGATTTGAACTATATTGACTAAAATTTAAAATGTGAGTAAGGAGAAACATTTAAAACCCTACCACCAATGCTTTAGACCATGAGTTTCAGAGATGATTCTTGACCCAATTGCAGCAACACTACAGTCTACAAGTGACATCCTTCAAAACCAAATTTGATACAAGGTGCAACTTGGACTTTCATATATTTAAATATAAATAATAATAATTTAAAAATAAATAAATAAATAAACAAGCACCATACAAAACCATCATGCAGACCAAACTGAACCTTCTCTTCATTATACCAATCATGCACCATAATTTATACCAATGAGAAGAGTACAGATAACCTAACCTATAAATAACACTTTGTTCCAACAAATTTGAGTTTAAACATTACAACAAATTACAAGTAGTATATTCTTCTCTTCTCCCTGTAAATCTATCTTACAATCTACAAAGAATCTGTTCTCAATTCACTGACAACGCAAAACTCCTAGAGACTGACGTTTTCCAATGTAAGTTTCCAAACTCCTTGACTAATCTTCATCTTCATCGCACCGCTCAGCTCTTCCCCACCTCCAAATGAAAAATAGCAGTAGGCGGAGAACAAAAATCCAAGTAAGAATGTGGAGTCAGAGTCAGAGACTAACCTAGGATCTTTCATCCCCCACCCAGTTGTTCTTTTCCTTTGGCCCGGTAGGACCTTCCTCCCCATACAGCTCCACTGGGACCTTGTCAAAAATATTCGCTACTGAATATCGAAGTATCAGTGGCAAAACATTGATGAACTTATCAAGCTCAGTTCTTGAATCATACACAACTGCTGGACCCCACTTTCTCATATACTGCAACCAACATGGCTCTTTAACACTAGTAGTTCCTTCTCCGCCTAGATACTCTGCTGCAATAATTTCATAATGGACACTAGAATCCACATAATAATTGCTCTGAGTAGCGTCATTTCTCACTCCAATTCCAAGCATTGCGGGCCCCTGGATGTAGCTCCCAGGATGAGCGAAGCTGGCATGGCCACTTTTCGAGGAGTAAACAACAGCTTTATTTCCATCTATGAACTCTAAATCTGAAGCATCCACCCACTCGCCCCCACTGTGCTGTGAAAAGTATATACTCCAAAGCTCACCAGTGAAATTGCTTACTCTGAGTGTGAAATGTTCCCAATCACACACATGTTTTCCAATCTTGGTAAGAGCAACATTCATAATTCCAACCTTGAGAGTGGCTGGGCCATTAAAGGGACAAAATACCCACATCACAATATCAGTGAAAGTTCCACCTAAAGCTGGCTTCACATGGACATAAAGGACTGCACTTTCTAAATCTCCTCGCTTGACAATCTTTCTTTTATCATCATTTGGCAAATCTATCCAATAAGCCCCATCATTCATCCCACCACCTGGCAAATTCAAGCCTGCAGCATCAATTGCCTCACCAACTGACTCGCCCTTTTTGTACAACAATGCACCGTTGTTGAAAAACCATGAAACAGAAGATGGCAAATAAACCTCATCAGGATGGAAGAAAACCGTGGGACCATAGTGCCTAATGAGTGCATGAATCTGATCAAAATTTGGCATTGCGTTTAGAGTGGGATTTAAGTTCTTCAAGCATGCAATATTTAGCTCCTCTCCAGAACTCCAATAGCTACTGCAGAAAAATGTCCCTACAGAAACACCTGTCCCAATCATTCCCCGATCAGAGGGTCTTGTGCTCCAGACTCGAAATGGTAATTTTGAAAATTTGGAATTAGCATCGAGTATCAGGTGGTAGGTTTCACATTTATCTGTTAGATCACCTCGAACACATCTAACATCCTCCAATTTGGGCTTGTCTGATTTGTAAGTGACCACAAATCCCATGGATTTATATCCTTCAGGTGGCTGAGGTAACCAGAAGTAACCACGTCCATCAAGATTTTCCTCACTCCCATCATCTGAAATCCAGACTAATGTATAATCAAGGGGCTTGAGAAGAGCTGGTGGCTGATCTTGGTGCCAAATGCTAGAATTTTGGGGTTCATACAAATCCACTTCCCGTGCCACAAGCACAAACCCTCGTAAAGGCTGGTCATTAGATTGGCAGTAGTCACCAAGACTGCAAAATTCATCAGGTATTCCTACAGGTTTATAAAATGTAATACCTCTTCTCTTGTCCTCCGAAAAATTGTGTTCCCAAATAAACTCAAACTTGGTGATTTTGACAACTTCTATTTGTCCTAACCTTATTCTTTCAGTGGCAAATCCTTGACCTAAGAGTTACCAGAAAAACTCACTCAGTGAGAACCATCATCATATATCAGATAGATAAGTGAATGCTAGTAGATTCAGAACCAAGTAAGCTGTAAGTCATATGTTTAAACTTTCTATCTACCTACACCAGGAAAATAAAAAAATTAAAAAATTAAACTTTCCACAAGACCTGTTCCCTTAAAAAGTCGCAATCCTCCCTCCTCTTCCCTAAAAACAATGAAAAACTACTACACATATTTGTTTAGTCATGATGCAAAAATGGCAACAGATGCAGAAAAAATGACAATGATACAGAAAAAAAACTAAGAGACAAATCACAAATTATAGACACAGTGATCCTCGAGGAATTAAAGATGATAATATGTTACTATGGAAAAGGATGGACGACCAAGGGCAAGAAACACTAAAACCAGATGATTCTATAACGGAAGTAAATTCACTTTGGTATCTTTTACCCATTTTTTCCATGATTAGATCCTTTAGAATTGTACAAAGTAGAAGTACTGAACTGAAAATTTAAAACAATCATATCAACAAGTTTTAGTCCGTAGAGCCATTCGTCATATCTCACGCAAATTAACCCACTTTAGAGTTAATGATTGGTCATCATCATCAACATGTCCACATGAGATTATTCTGGTAGTAGTAGAGCAATCTCAGTCACCCAGAAAAATCTTGTTTCCAGTGTGAAACCGTGGGGTTTTGTATCATATTTCTCGAAGTCCTCATGCACAGTATTCAACATAATTTTTTTAAACTCATAGGCCATGTCTGTTGGGCTCCATAGAATGGAGGGGATTAAGAGTACGGTGAGATTGAGTGTAAAGATTATTAGTGTGGTGTATTAGGTTAGACATGTAGGATAAAGCACCGGATTAGTAATACTATAGATAGTATGAATATATAAAATTAATATATTTTAATTTTTAGTATCTTTTTTGTTCTAAAAAATATGGGTGTGTTTGGTTTATGTTTGTAGAGTAGTTTTTAAGATAAAAAACACGAAAACATGTTTTGTTTGCCTTTTTTCAGAAATGGTTTTGGAAAATTGTTTTGAGGAGAGAGTTTTAAAAAAAATGATTGATTTGATGTGTATGAGAGAAAGTGTGTGATTTTAGAAAGTAGGTAACCAAACAAAATTTTAAATTTTTTTTTGAAAAAATTTGTTTGGTTTAATTACTCTTGAAAATTTGTTTGTAGAGAATTTTTCTCAAATTTTTTTTTGAAAAACAAACCAAACAAAGCCATAAATTTTGCATAAAAATTATTTAAAAATTCACTAATCCTCTCACTCAATTTCTAATCTTAACCCCACTATGTGATTGATAGCCCTAGCAATAGGGAGATTTTTTTTTTGAACACTACCAATAGGGAGATTGATTACTAGTCAAGGGACATGACCCCAACCAAAAATTCTATAGCCAGGTAAGTCCCACGAACTATTAATCCGAAACATGGCCATATTGTTTTATGAAGCCACAAAATCTCAAAATCAAGTAGTGCTTTCAAAATATAAGTTTCCATACAAAATTAAAGTCATGAAACACAACTTCAAGAAACAAATTTTCAAACTACAACAACTCAAACTACGATTCAAGCATAAGGATAGACAATGGTAGTGCTCAAAAAAATGCCCAATTGGTGGACACTCTTTTTCTAATTTTTAATTTGAAAGGCAAAACAAAAAATGCTAGCCTCAAAAAACTAAAATAGTCGATCAAATTAGAGAATAAAAACTAAAAAAAAAAAGAAAAGAAAAGAAAAGAAAAAGGTCTGTCTATCTGAGAAAACTAGAGAATGGAAAGGGCATAAAATCTCAAAATTGATCAAAACCATCAAAATGCCGATAAATAAAAAACAAAAAATCTACAACAAATTGATCAAAACCCACAAATAAATTGGAGGAATTACGCCATAAAAAAATAAAAAATAAATAAAAAAAACGAGAATGGCATTATTATTACCTGGAGGCCAATGGGGAATGGGAGCAGGAAGAGAGAAAGAATCGGGGAGGGTCGGGCAAAAATCGGAGAGCCTGCTCCAATGAAAACACTTGCACCCAAACATCGTACTCGTAATCATAGGATCTCTACGTACCTACTACTACTATATATCTATATATGAATGAATGAATGAAATATATCCAGACGAGGAGGAACAAAAATTGCCTGAAATTATGAAGAAGAAAAAAATGTTACCCAACCCGACACGACTCTATTGCATTCTATTCTATTCGGACAACTATTCACCATGTTTGGTTTCGTCTGTTTTCTCAAAACTGAATTTTTTATTATTTGTATTTTTTTTAAAATTTTTTAGATAGAGGGAAATTTGGCCAAAGAACAATGGTACAGCTCTAATGATATGGTGGAGAATAAAATAAAAAATAAAAAAGGCATTGGCTTTCCTCCGGTCTAATTGGGATCGGAGGGTGTTGTTAGGTCTATGAGAGCTCATCACGAGTCTCATTTTGATAATTTGAACTGCTCAAGTATTATAAGACTATAAAATATTACATTGATCGGATATCGATAACTACATGATTAAATTAATTTTGTATTTAAAAAATTAGACAGTGAAAAAATAAACGGTTGACAGAAAACTAATCCGATGAGAGGATTAGTGAAAAAATAAACGGTTGACAGAAAACTAAACATCCTCCCAGATGTCTATCCAAAAGCAACTTAAATAACTTTTTTATTCATGTCTGGACGTTCTCTAGGACATCCGCCTAGACGTTCTCATTAAATCAAATCAAATTTTTTATTAAATTTTTATTCAAATTTAATAAAAAAATTTATTCAACGTTGATGGTCTAAACCCCTCACACGGAGGCCCATACTTGATAGAGGACGTAGAAACATATTTTTATTTATTTTTGGATAATTTTCCCCGTGAGAGATTTGAGTGAGAACGTATACCACCACCTTCACCAATTGCCCTCTCCTCACATTTTCCTTTCTTTCTTCCCACCAACCACCATCGCACCCCTTGTCACCTATCTTCTAATTCCTCTCATCCCCTCTCTCCCACCGCAACCCTTCCACCATGAAACCCCTCCCTTACAACAGGTTTGATGTTGATTCAGTAATATTCATGGTGAAGGTTTGTAGCATTGATAAAAGGTTAATTTTCTCTCTACTTTTCTGTAAGTTTTTTCGTAAAAAATTAAGAATTCAACTAAAATAACTGGTTCTCAAAACACATTTTTCTTGGTCGTTATTATTAGAATTTTACTTTTATGAACTTAATAAAGAAAATCATTACCACTTAAGTAAACATAATATATGTGCATTTTTTTTTTTTTAGTATTCTTATAATATATATATATTTTTTAGTTACACACCGATCGCAGGTGTACAAACAGCTAATTATATATAATTGGGATGTCTCTCATTTTTTACCACAATTTTTCTTTCTTTGACTCCCCTATATTAATCCTACACAATAGGATTCATGTTTTCTTGGGTCGGCAGTTGATGTTCTTACGTCCGCTCCCCAACAGATTGATTGCACATTTTCACCCAAATGTAGTGCAAGAATATGTGATTTTGAGAAAATTCTCTCCATGTCTTTTACAAATCAAAATTGCTAGGTGCACACTATTAAAACATAAAAAATGTAGTGTGACAGATTTATTTTAAATGTGTCCACACCGCACGCCACAAAATACAATTTTTGGATTTTAATATCCAGCATAACAAAACACAGCCCCCCATTAAAGCTGCTAGAAAAAATTATGGAAGAAGAGAGAATGCTCAACACAAGTTCTTTATGTTGTGTTTGGTTAAGGGATTTGAAGAGGGATTTGGAAAGGGAAATGGAAAAAGTAGGTGAAATATGAATAAAACATGCCTAAATTTCACATAGTTTCACACACCTTTTCCCTTTCCCTTTCCAAATCCCTCCCCAAATCCTCCAACCAAACACACTATTAGGATCCTTCCTTTCTTCCTTCTCACCACAACACAGCTCTCAAACCCACACCATCATCAAACACCCACTTACCACCCATTCATCAGAATCACAACAAAAGACTCATAGGTCACTAAATTACACCACATTATCATGCAACTCCTCTACCATCTCTCTCTCGAGTTCTGCTGAATTCACCAATTAATGGCTGGCTTTCCCAGATTGGTATCAGTCTGAAGGAAACATACAAGGATTAGCCAATGCCTCGTGCAACCACGACACTGATTAATTCAGTATTTCAAGCATGCCCAAGAGGATTTCATGTAGACCAAATAGCTCCATGTTCCCATCTTACTTGTTTCACAGTGCAAGTTGTGGCTATAATGAAGACAGTGGGGAGAGAGAGAGAGAGTGTGTGTGTGTGCTAACATTGATTTTGGGGGTGTTCGAGGTCCTGGTATTGTTTTTTGAGGAGATGAAGATGTAGCTTGTAGGTAGAAAATTGGAAATTACAAGTTTATTTGTAAACCAGGTTTCTTGTTTTTGTATGGACTACTAACTAACACGGCTCAACACCAAAAACCCAAAAATTAAAATTAAAAGATTAAAAAAATGCTCCTAGTAGTATCTAACAATGTTTCGTTTTTAATTCATCACCACATAAACTCTCATTCCATATTTTACCTTCATATCTTAGGTGGTCATTTCAAGTTTCTATCCGTACATCATTTATATGTTTTTCCCAATTGCAACAGCTTTTCACTAGCAGAAACTGTTTCCTGGACCACTTCTAATAAAAACGACTGAAACAATAAACACGAGATAGCAAACCTTGAGATGAAAAAAAGACAACCAACTAAAAAAAAAAGGAAGACGAAGAAGAAGAAGAATCCAAGTCCAAATACACCATTACGGCCATTAAAACAGCTTTTATAAATTATGACTTCCACGCAACATTTTACTCAAAAATTGGATAAGTGTTTCCTCTTGAATTGCACAATAAAAAAAACAATCAAGAGGAAAAGAAGCATATACCAGAACCCACAAGGAATAAAGAAATAAAAAAACATGTCTCATGAGCATCTATGCAAAATCACACACAAACAAATAATACAAATTTCTATAAAACCATGGGAGAAATCGTGGCACATGAAGCCAATAAACAGTAACTTATCTGCCTCAGCCCAAAAATCTAGTTGGCATGTGGTTATGACCACTTGTTGAACTTGGTTTCCTTTGACCCTTTCATCAAGAACCACGGAAACCATTGCCCCCAATGTGATTGCCTCCTCTGCCAAAACTCTGAGAACCCAAACGCCCTCTGGGAGCCTCAGATTGGTAACTTCCTCTTCCCCTTCCCCTTCCTGATCAATACAATTTAAAAGGAGCAGAAGGGTGTCAACAAAGCCCAACATTTGGAGTAAAAAATGCACAAACAAGAATATTTTTCACCCTGCTTTGTTCAATAAATATTGATAATTGAAGCAATCAGTAAATCCATGGAAGCATACATTCCGTCTGAAGATAATGTTAAGCTAAGAACAGCAGTTGTCAACAGATCAATTCAACTACGGTGAATTACTTTAAATGGGGGGAGTGATGGTTTTGTCCTCCTACAAACCGAGGCATAAGAATCGAGAAGAAAATCACAACCAACACACAACTTCAAGTTGTGGGTGAGAGGTGTGGTTAGAGGTAGTCCGGGAAGATGGCGGGCACTTCAATGGCTTGGGATCACCGGAGGTGGAGAGGAGGAGGTCTATTCTTATAATATATATATATTTTTTAGTTACACACCGATCGCAGGTGTACAAACAGCTAATTATATATAATTGGGATGTCTCTCATTTTTTACCACAATTTTTCTTTCTTTGACTCCCCTATATTAATCCTACACAATAGGATTCATGTTTTCTTGGGTCGGCAGTTGATGTTCTTACGTCCGCTCCCCAACAGATTGATTGCACATTTTCACCCAAATGTAGTGCAAGAATATGTGATTTTGAGAAAATTCTCTCCATGTCTTTTACAAATCAAAATTGCTAGGTGCACACTATTAAAACATAAAAAATGTAGTGTGACAGATTTATTTTAAATGTGTCCACACCGCACGCCACAAAATACAATTTTTGGATTTTAATATCCAGCATAACAAAACACAGCCCCCCATTAAAGCTGCTAGAAAAAATTATGGAAGAAGAGAGAATGCTCAACACAAGTTCTTTATGTTGTGTTTGGTTAAGGGATTTGAAGAGGGATTTGGAAAGGGAAATGGAAAAAGTAGGTGAAATATGAATAAAACATGCCTAAATTTCACATAGTTTCACACACCTTTTCCCTTTCCCTTTCCAAATCCCTCCCCAAATCCTCCAACCAAACACACTATTAGGATCCTTCCTTTCTTCCTTCTCACCACAACACAGCTCTCAAACCCACACCATCATCAAACACCCACTTACCACCCATTCATCAGAATCACAACAAAAGACTCATTTCACCGCGCTCGTTCTGGGTCACTACATTACACCACATTATCATGCAACTCCTCTACCATCTCTCTCTTGAGTTCTGCTGAATTCACCAATTAATGGCTGGCTTTCCCAGATTGGTATCAGTCTGAAGGAAACATACAAGGATTAGCCAATGCCTCGTGCAACCACGACACTGATTAATTCAGTATTTCAAGTATGCCCAAGAGGATTTCATGTAGACCAAATAGCTCCATGTTCCCATCTTGTTTCACAGTGCAAGTTGTGGCTATAATGAAGACAGTGGGGAGAGAGAGAGAGTGTGCGCGCTAACATTGATTTTGGGGGTGTTAGGTCCTGGTATTGTTTTTTGAGGAGATGAAGATGTAGCTCGTAGGTAGAAAATTGGAAATTACAAGTTTATTTGTAAACTAGGTTTCTTGTTTTTGTATGGACTACTAACAAACACGGCTCAACACCAAAAACCCAAAAATTAAAATTAAAAGATTAAAAAAATACTCCTAGTAGTATCTAACAATGTTTCGTTTTTAATTCATCACCACATAAACTCTCGTTCCATATTTTACCTTCATATCTTAGGTTGTCATTTCAAGTTTCTATCCGTACATGATTTATATGTTTTTCCCAATTGCAACAGCTATTGACTAGCAGAAACTGTTTCCTGGACCACTTCTAATAAAAACGACTGAAACAAAAAACACGAGATGGCAAACCTTGAGATGCAAAAAAGACAACCAAAAAAAAAAAAAAAGGAAGACAAAGAAGAATCCAAGTCCAAATACACCATTACGGCCATTAAAACAGCTTTTATAAATTATGACTTACACGCAACATTTTACTCAAAAATTGGATGAGTGTTTCCTCTTGAATTGCGCAATAAAAAAAACAATCAAGAGGAAAAGAAGCATATACCAGAACCCACAAGGAATAAAGAAATAAATAAACATGTCTCATGAGCATCTATGCAAAATCACACACAAACAAATAATACAAATTTCTATAAAACCATGGGAGAAATCGTGGCATATGAAGCCAATAAACAGTAACTTATCTGCCTCAGCCCAAAAATCTAGTTGGCATGTGGTTATGACCACTTGTTGAACTTGGCTTCCTTGGACCCTTTCATCAAGAACCACGGAAACCATTGCCCCCAACATGATTGCCTCCTCTGCCAAAACTCTGAGAACCCAAACGCCCTCTGGGAGCCTCGGATTGGTAACTTCCTCTCCCCCTTCCTGATCAATACAATTTAAAAGGAGCAGAAGGGTGTCAACAAAACCCAACATTTGGAGTCAAAAATGCACAAACAAGAATATTTTTCACCCTGCTTTGTTCAATAAATATTGATAATTGAAGCAATCAGTAAATCCATGGAAGCATACATTCCGTCTGAAGATAATGTTAAGCTAAGAACAGTAGTTGTCAACAGATCAATTCAACTACAGTGAATTACTTTAAACGGGGGGAGTGATGGTTTTGTCCTCCTACAAACCGAGGCATAAGAATCGAGAAGAAAATCACAAGCAACACACAACTTCAAGTCAAGTCAAGTCAATAAAATTAGTAAAATTACGAAAGAATGAAAAGCCAACAGGGAAAAGAAAGAAGAAGAAAAAATGAAATAGAAAAAGCAAATGTAATGCATAGTGTCTTAGATGAAGTACCAAGCATGAACTTGCATTGGTGAAATTGTTTGTTCAACAGATACTTCCATAAACCAATTTTGTATTGGGAAGCGATAAAGCCACGCCAACAATCATTCCTTCCACAGTCACATACTATATTTTTGGAAAGGCCAAATTACCCTCTTAGGCCATGTTTGTTTGGCGGATTAGGTTGGGTGGGATTGTTAGTGAGGGGATGATTAGTGAAGAGATTGTTAATGTAGGGATTGTTAGTAAGGGGATTAAGTAAAAGTGTATTTATTTTGATGATAGTATAGGAAATTATTAGTGATGAGATTGTTAAATTATTTTTATATAAAATAAATAAAAAATTTATTTCAATATTAAAAATATTCTAAAACAAACAGACGTACTTTGGTAAATAATAAAAAAAAAATTGGCTTAATCCGCTCATTATTTTCCTAATCCCCCCTCTACCCCGCCAAGCTAATCCCCCTACTAAAGGGGATTACTAACCCCTTTGGACTATGACCTTAAAGTCAGAAGACCCACTACTGTAATCTCTCATCCTTTTCTACCCTCTTCCCATGCCTTTTTTCTTCATTGTCCCCAGCTGCCAAAATCACAAGTCCACAACGGAGAAATCACCAGCAGCATCATCCACGTCTCTCTCAACAACAGATAACAACTCAACAAATGTTCATTGGAAATTATCTCATCAAAACCCCTATATCCAGTCCCACCAAAACCATCTAGCCCATATTTAAGCATTATTCCAAGATTGAGCAAATCAGTTGAATCTGCCCATAGGGAGGGGGACTAAGGAGAAGATTCTCCTGCTGGTTCTCTGTTTTGATGATTTACCTACGATGATTTTGGGGGGTTAATGTAAAAGTTGTCTCATGACATGGTGATTTGGGGGGGGAAGAGCTCTATTGTAAAGCGGGACTTTCATTGTTCAGAGGGAGAGTGGCTTCTTTTTATTTTATTTTTTTTAGGGTGATTTGATGTTTTGGTTTCTGAATCTGCCCATGTCTTTGATTTTGAAAACTAGGCATTTTGTATCATATATGATAACCTGAACCTGTGGTTACCCATCACAAACCCCTCCCTTTTAGTCTCTCTCCCTTGTATCTCTTTGATTTGTAAGAGAGAGCAAAAGGAGAGCACCTTGGTTCATGGGAGAGAACTAGTTGTCTTTTTGTTGACAGGTCCACATGAAGAGAAGTGAAGAGGAGGAGGGACAGTAAAGAGAACTCATGGGTCATACAAAGGGCAAGTTTGTCCATCTAAAATCAGAAATTGAAAGTAGAGTGAAGCCAACCATTTCTTTTGTGGCTTTAGCACCACCCTTTTGTATTATGTCATTACATATTGAGAGAACCAGTTTACACTAGACAAACAATCTTTCAGCACCTACAATGTGGCAGTTCCCAAGCACTGATAATAGAAACCAATTCCAGAGGAAACTGGCCCCTGAAAAGTAATCAGTGGCACTTTGATGGCATTGAGAGTCCTTTATGTAAACTTAAAAGTGCTTTGGCGAATCTTATGTATAGCTGGGAATCGAATGAGGGATACCCCTCTCTGGATCGATTCTTAGATATCACAGATCTTTTTGACACACATGATCGTGTTTAGTGCCACTTCGTATGGTGGCCTTGTTTGGTACATTGGTGGCTTTTTAATGCCCTTTGCTTATAAATAAAAAAAAAAGGCCAATGCAGATTTATATTTATTAATCTCTATAAGAATTAGTACATGTTGCCTTTATTCCTTTTTTTGTAATCTTGAAATGAAATATTAAAAATAACATATAATAGTTTTGCATTTTTTGAAAATTATTGTGTTGGGGTGTGCCTATGTCATATTCATGTAATATTTCCAAGACAGCTCAACACGCTCAACACACTTGTAAGCATGTCCAATTTTATTTACTTTAAAAAACACTAAATAATAGTTAAAGAAATCCACTCTTTGATAACTCTAAATCATTTTTTTAAGTTTATTATTAAAGTATTTTCACTTATGGCAATTAAAGACAGCTCTTGCTACTTCTGCAGTGTGCAAGCATGTGTGCTGTGGGAAGCACAGAACAAACAGCAGATACATAACAACTCCAAGTTTTCTCAATTGGAGAGAAATGTTACTTGGATCTCCTACAAAAGTCGTTAAAATCTGAAGTAAAGTACCAAACAACCAAAAATAATATTGTAAATAGACCATGTTTGGCATTTTTCGTCAACATATGATTACCAGACGGGTACCAAAAAAAACAACGCCCATTAATGGGTGTTTGGGAGAGGTTAGACATGTACCAACCAAAATAATCATTTTTTTTATTAATGAAAACCAAGGGATATGAGGCAGCAGAAACAAATATTTCAAGCAATTTGTACAGCAGCAAGTGTTTCCTTTAATGCATCAAACTACATGTAAGGAGCAAAAAATGAATACTTCAAAACATAGTAATTTAGACCAATTCAGCATTATAATTAATATGAAAAAAATTATAATTAATAGGAAAAGCAGTTTGAGAGACATACTACCTCCTCGAGAGGCACCACCGACGTTTGCTCTCCTCTCTTCAATATAAACTTGCCTTCCAGCCAACTGTATTGGAGATGCCTACAAAAAGAAAACCAAGAACACAAATGAAAGATTGCATGAAAAATCCACACCCAAGTGAAAAAGATGAAATTGACTCTTTCAAGCACCTTTGGTTTCACACAAGACAAGACCTAGGATAAGGTGATCGATAAAACTCTAAATACAATCATAATGTTAAGAAAAAAATATTAGAACCATTCACAAGTAGTTCCACAGGATACTCCTAAGTAGTGTTGTATGCCAACATTAAAAAATTAATGACGGATCTCTTCAAATATATTTCGTTTCTCATTTTCCCACAAGCATTTTCTGTTGAAACAAACGAGGATTTTTGAAAACATCAATTCTTTAAATACACTTTTAAATAGTTTTATGAAACTTTAAACATTGTGTTCACATAAAAATAAAAAAGATATGAAACTGATGGGTGTTTCCAAACTTTTCATATATTTGTCTCTAAAAACACGATAAAAGAAAGAAAGAAAAAATTTAAAACCATACCAAACAACACTTCATTATCTGAAAAACATATACACAAACTAAACATATAGAAAAAATATTTGCTAGCCAATAAGAAAAATAGAATCATCAAATCATAATTCATAACATGAAACAAGGCAAAAATCTTGACTACAACTCAACTATGGGGTCAGTACAAGCTCACCTAGAATAACTGCATCAAACCTAAAGACATCCACTTGAACATCAAACTTTTAACAGGACTGATTAATTGCAATCAAGATGGAAATTCAAACCTTGATTGCATTTTGAACAGCATGGAGATCTTCAAACTCGACAAAGGCATAGCACACACCAATGTCCTGCACATCAATTGCTATTTTAGATTGCTTTCTGATATGCATAAAAGCACGTGATTAAAAAAGGCATAGAGCAAAAACTGACCTTCCTGTTCCTGATGAACACACCATCAGGTAGGATTCTACCAAATGTTTTAAACTCTAGCTCAATATCAGCAGCAGAAATGGTAGAGGGCAAATTCCTCACATAGACAGATTTCAATTCACCTGAAACAATGAATTAAATAATCAACCTGATGTTCCTTGTTGAAATTATTATGACTGAAAATCTAAAAAAGCAAAATAGCCATCTAAGGAGAAGGTAACAAGTCATAAGTGAAGAAATTGAAGCCAATCACAAAACTGCCTCAAGTCACCAGCATATCCCAAGTCTCAACTTTTATGAAAATCAATACCAGAAGGTAGATGAGTAGCATTACATTTGATTTCCCCATAAACAAGTAAGCATGCATACAAACACAAATTTAATGTCTCACAAGTCATTCTAAATGATTGGCTGGCCCTTCCACAAATTACAATGACATCAGCAAGAAAATAAATCATGCAACTCTTTCCTGCTTGATTTGAACATTTACAAAAGTTCTGTAGGTTCCTTCTCTTCTCCATTTTCCATTTGGTGGTGCCACGGTTAGTGAAGTCATTGAATTTGGCAGGGTTGGTCAAAGATATGTTACCGTTAAACTATGTCAGAATTTAAACAACAAAAATACAGTTTTTTTAAATTTATATATATATATATATATAAATAAATAAAAAATAAAAAGAAGAAGATAAAAAGGAAAATCACCTTCTTCTAGTGATGGATTTTCCTCTGATGCCTCCAAACTAGTTTCAGGAACATTCAACTGCTGAGAAGCAGGCTGTGGATGATGCCGCTCTGAAGCAGGTGGAGTGCTTTTAATAAGAGACGGCCGAGAAACAACTGATCGAACAGATTGCCCTTTAGAAGCTCGCAACTTCCAACAATAGAAAAATCACATGGAAAAAACAAGACATAAGTCCAGTATCAAGCAATAGAACCAACGTAAATAATAAAAAAAAAAATATTAAATCACTTGCAAAATCCAACAAAAATCCCATGCATCATCCATGCATGCTTCTATAGATGCTAGGTCTTCCATCAATACACAGGGACTCAGGCATGGTGTCCAGGTGCTGGTATGTACCTAGAAGTTAGAATTCAATAATTTATCCTCAAATTTTGGATAGAGGGCACGGTTGTGTTACTTTTCAATTCTTTTCCTCCAACATCTAGGGGAAAAGATACACTACCGTACCATGGGGTCTAAGAGAAACCACATTCCCAAATATCCAGGTAACAAAAAAAAAATAAAATAGATTAAGAAAGTATCCGATAGAATACTTCACATTCTAACAGTATGCATATTTAAAATCAAGCCTTGGCTTTTGAATCTTGTTGACACTTCAAAGAATATGAGATGTCTGTGGCATAGATCTTTCCTTAGTTGCAGGAATCACCTACTGGGAATGATGTTTTTGATCTAGAACAGTGATTTAAAGCAAGACTTTTTGTTAGCCACTTTCCCATCGAGACAAAATCGTAGTTCCAGCTGGGATGAAATCAATCAAACATATGAACTCTAAATAAATAAAATGCTACCAAGATAAAAGAAAATCTGTAGAGAATAAATATTTATCTTAGGTTTTGACTTTCCTCTTAGGAATTAAATTACAACATTTTTTGACAAATCTTAATTTGGGGTTCAAGCACTGAGCGGAGAAGATATATGAGAATTTACTATACCTTTGTTTAATGTGTTTGTCAATATCTATTTTGGCCAGCTGATATTTTTGTTCATTTGAGCAAAGAAATCTAAGTCCGTATCTGGAATGATAGAACAAAGAATTTTGCACCTACCGGGGTCTTTGGGATGATATTAATGATTCAAGTGTTAGTGTAATGTAGACAACCCAACACACACATACATTAATTTACAATTAGCAACAAAAATATATGTAATATCATCCCAAAGACCCGGTAGGTGCAAAATTCTTTGTTCTATCATTCCAGATACGGACTTAGATTTCTTTGCTCAAATGAACAAAAATATCAGCTGGCCAAAATAGATATTGACAAACATGTAGTAATCAATGACTACAAAAAGCAAGCACAAGTGCATGTGTATGTGGCACTATTGAACCATAAGGCCGTGTTTTGGAAGAGCACAAAAGTAATTGTTGTCATCTTACAATATACTTTAGTTGGTGAAATGGTTGAACCTTATTTAATTTGAACTGTGGCGAGTTTAATCCAGATTTTAGATGTTCGACAATGAGCAAGGTGCAGACTGAATATATGGAAAATAGAAAAGGTGCATACTATAGAAGCATAAGTAAATTTTGGGGGCTCTCCAACTGGTTCCTCAACAGAATGCAGTGTATCTGGAATAGCTTCCACCACATTTTGAAGCAAAGTAGATGGCCCTTCTGCAGGAGTTTCCTCCAACACAGTGTCAGCTTCAGGACCTTGCTGTTGCTGCTGTTCTTGGAGAGTGTACTCGTCTACTGGATTATGCCCTTCAATATGAATTGAGTTCACATATTCACTAGCCTCTTCATCTAAGTCATAGTCTGAAACTGTTAAACCCATCACATTAGCCAACAAAAAAAACGAAATTTAAAAAAAAAAATCTAAAAATAGAAAAACAATCACTCTATTTCAAAACTTTTGAGACTTACCTGTCAGCAATGAAAACAAAGAGATTATTTTTGCCAGATTCGATAACCCAAAATGGGAAAATACACATGTGCAACACAAGCAGACAAAACCCTTGAACTGGAAATTTTCACTACTATATGCAGAAATTTTGGACTTATTGATACTTCTGCCTTTAGACAGGTTAAATTAACAAAGAACTAGACAATTTAAAATCAACCAAACAATTACATAGAAGCATAGTATCTTGTAAATGGATTATCAATACAAACTGCCCACAGCCGATTATTGAAGCCATATAGTACAGGATAAAACTAGTTGCGTAGGTCAAACACACAACAAAGTAGCCTCGTTGTTGCCCCTTCTGACAATTACTCAAGACCAGCTGTAAAAATTATATTTCGATCCCAACATCATATTTAAGAAGTACAAAACTTTTTACAATCCAGATCAACTGACAATACCTGGCAGCTCTGGATGAAGAGTTGAGGTAAGTGGTTGGGGATCAATTTTGTTTTCTGACATAATAGGTACAGTACGTTGGTGAACCTCGTCCTCATTAATAAAGTGAAATACATCATTCAGAACAAAATAACCCTTCTCCTGAGGCGCAAGCAAAAACGTCTGCACAAACTTCCTACTGCCACTAAAATCCTTGGCTCGAACAGAACCTGAAACCACCACAAGAACACCTCCCCTCCAAGATTCAAGAGAATTTATTGTCTTGATCTCAATTCCGGTAAAATTTAGGGACACCATAAGCGTATGGATTTGCTGCAGAAAAGAAAAAAAGATAAATTTACATTTTATGGATCACATATATTGAGCCACACAATGCGACCAAAGAAAGTTGAATAGGGAAAGCCAACAAACAACACACGTGCACAAAGTTTCGCAAAAAAAATAAAGAATAGTGAATAAAATTTAAGAAATGAAAGGGTATTTCCTGATCACCTGCTGGAGAGGAACTTTTACACACATTTACGTAGACATATAAGCCATATTGATTAATTGAACATAAGTAGCATCAATAGATGTTAGTTGTCAATAATAGCCCAAATATAAAACTGATCTGCAATAACATAACCAATAAGCAACTAGTCACACCCTATGTTACCTGGAACGCAAATCGTTCTGGTACAAGGAACAAGAATGGGAATGTGCTACACCACAAGTACCCTATGTTACCTGGAACGCAAATCGTTCTGGTACAAGGAACAAGAATGGGAATGTGCTACACCACAAGTTTTGAATGAGATATCTAAATTGAATCGTATTGAATTGTAAATCAGAAAATTCACTTTATTTAGCATAATGTATAATTTGTTAAATTACAACACACACACACACACACACACAAAAACTGGGATTGACTCTCGTAACAAAATAAACCTTGACTTTTTTATTTTGTCAATTTAAATTAAATTTTAAACTTTTGATTTAATTTTAATCTAAACCATTTGTCTATTTTCATTAGGAGCAATAATGGTCACTAGCTAAACTAACTTGCTAAAGCTATATTTTAGCAATGTTATTTTGATGGTCACTTTGCTGTTTTTTTGGCATAACCAACATTTCCTCTATTTAGTTGCCTTTTTTAATTATCACTGTCTCAACCACCTTGTTTCCAACCACCTCTCTCTCCTGATGTACACCCTCTATTTTTCTTTCTTCTTTTCCTTTTTTCATTTCTCACCATACACTTTCATAACTTCTACATATTATCACTGTACAAAATATTCATTTCAATCTCTCTCCTCTCTACACTTTCCTCTTAGGAAAATGCTATGTTTTAGAGTTTTGTCTTGGAAGATGTTGATTTCTGATAGTAAACATGTCCGATGGTAAACTTCATGCTACTTTTTAGCAATAGCAATAGCAACCCTTGTTGTACCTCATCATTGTTAGAGCATAAATTCAATTATCATATTGTTACGTTTCCAAAAATATACCAAATGTAAGGACGCAAACTAGCCTTCATGTTAAAGCAAAGCATCAACAATACAAATAACATGAAGAATCTGTCTAAATCATAAAGAGCATCATTTTCCAATTTCAATAAATCAAATAACAGTAGCCTGAGAAATTCTATTATTCAAACTGACACAACAGAGAAAATAAATGCACATTTTGTACAATTTCATCTTAAAATGTTGCATGAAACCAAATCATATTACCAACATTGTCGATGCTGACTCGCTCGAATCCCCGTCAACCCGAATCATGGTGCTTTTATCAGTATAAAATTGATGAGCGAAATCGGGTTGCTGTTGAAGAATCTGGTAGTACTGTCCAACGAAGTACGAACCAACCTGAAACAACGACACAGATTAAAACATCAACATTAAACCTTCACCAATGAACGTTAATTTGGTGCTCTGTGATTGAATCACCTGAACAGCACTGACAGCAGATGCGTACCCACTCGCCATTTGCGCTCTCTAGAAGAGCACGCAACAACAAAAAAAAATTTAATTTGATCTTCAAAACCCTAGTCCTCTCAAAACACGATTCAATCCCAGATCAAAAACACAAGTAACGATTTTAAATCCCCAAATCTCAAGCTTTAGGGTTTACAAACAGATGAATGTTTTTATATTCGTGTATCAGCGCAGGTCTTCAACAGTATCTTTTACTTTTCTACGGAGAGAACGAGTGTGTGTGGTTTAGAGAGAGAAAAATAATAACATTCAAATTGTTTTGTTTTTACTTTTCAAAAAATATTTTTTAGAAAATTTTAGTTTTTTATTTTTTGTGTTTTTTTATTTTTACTAAATTTTTTTTAATATTCTAAATAATTTTTTTACTTTTTAGACACACTTAACATAAATATATTTAAAAATTAAAAAATTTATAAAAAAATTCTTTTAAAAATTCACTAAATACCAAAAATACAAAAAAAATACAAGAATTCAGTACATTTTTTATATTTTTATGTATTTATTAATTTTTTAAAATATTTTTTCACAATTTTTTTACTTTTTAGATACATCTAAGTAAAGTGCATCTAAAAAAGTAAAAAAAATGTTTAAAATTTAAAAAATATTCACTAAAAATAAAAAAGTACGAAAACCAAAAAAGTTAATTTTCAAAAAATTTGATCCAGAAAACTCAAACCAAACACACTAATTGTGTTGCAGAGAGAGAGAGAGAGCTAATAAGATCCGATTTCAGATAGAGAATTTGAGAAATCCATGAAAAAGAAACATAAGAAACAAAGTGGGTGTTTGACGAGTGAATTTTTTTTTTTTAGGTTTTTTTAGTTATAGGATATTATTGGAGAAATTTTTTTTTGCGTTTTAAAAGATAGTTGGGTTTCTTTTGTGATTGGATGTGATATTTGTAAGAAAAAAAGTGAAATGATTATGGGGTTTAATGTGATATTTTGTTTGGACTTTTTTTTTTTTTGGTAACTAATTTGTCTTTTAGTGAAAAAAATAAAAAAATTTGTTCCCAAACAGCACCTTAGAGTGCTCAGGGGTCAGCCACAGGGCCACAACACAGGATGTAATAATGACCCGGCTCATCCAGGCCCGGGTCGGCCCAAACGGGTCTCACATCCTTTTTGTTTTAGCAGGTCGAGTGGTCATGGTCCAAAATGGGTCCCAATTCCAAACTCAAGCCCACTCATAATAGGGTCGAGCTGACTAGGCCCACTCATAATAGGGTCGAGCTGACAAGCCGAGGCTAGTCAGACTTTTTTTTTGAAAAATAAATAATAAATACATTATTTATATAGATTATTTATCGGGAATAAAAAATAAAAGAAAAATTATATTAGAGTATTTTAATAAAGATTAATGAGATGTTTTGTTTGATTATGTTTCATGGTGGTATTTAAATTTAATTATGTGTGACTTATGTTTTTTAATTATAAACTTATAACTAAAAAAATATACAATTATATAATTTTTTTCTTTCGAAATGAATAATTTTATATAAATGTGTGGGGGCCGAATATTTGGGATCGTAAAGAGGCCGAATGGATAAACTTGGAGAGTTGGAATATAAATATAGTATTCTGTTTCGTCCCGCAATTTCAAATCCTACCTTATTCGGTCAAAAGGCCGGTTGGGTAAGGGGCTGAGTGAAAAGCAGAGGGGCTGAGTGAAAAGCAGTTTGCTTTAAGAGAAGCCGAATGGAGAATTAAAGGTAGGTGATGGGTCGTTAAACACACCAAAATTAAATACTAAACTATACCAAATTCAATCAGAATAATGGCAAGTCCAAGTATCGATCTACAGGGACTATTGTGAAATTAAATTAATTCAATCGCAAAATTCCTAAATTAATTTTGATTAAAAAGACAAGATTGATTCTATACCTAAACAGCAATTAAATAAAATTGAAGAATTATATTGACAATTAAAATCTAGGGTTTGAGATATTAATTTTCGGAAAAAAATCCTAGGATAGAGAATTCACCACTAACCACATGAATGAGACTTAACATCAACCATTAATCGCAATTCGGTTTGAATTATCCAATATTTCACAACTACAAGTTTGAAATATTGATCAAGAGGGTTGTTGCATTCAATGTACAAGCACGAATCATCCCGAGTAATACGAGTCGTTTGCTCTAAACTATGTTAGCAAAACGACCTGTCTCTCATAGCATGCCTCGTTTCGTACTTTGAATACAAACACAAAGAATACTAATGTATGGAAAACATTAAACAATCACAGAGAGTAAAATGCTTTAAGAGAAGAGCGAAACAATTATTTATAAACTTCTAAAACATCCATACATTCATTCAAACCAAGTTACAATGAAAGCTCGTGAAAAATTCCATTACATGGCTAGGGTTTCATCAAACCCTAGAAAAGACGACTAGCCACTCATGGAGGAGTGGAAAGAGGAAGAAGATGAAGAAGAAGCCCCCATGGAAGTGTTTTCCAAGGTTTGGTAGTGTCTCCCCCTTTGGAACCCTAGCCTCCCTCTTTTCTGTATTCAATTTTCGAACCCTAACCGTGACTGATTTTCTGTCTTTTATTCGGAGCAAAATAGACCAAAAAGTCCATGCATGCGTCCCTAAGTGGGCCGTTCGTGCGGTGGTGGGCCGCTCGTGCGGTGAAACTTGGCCGCACGTGCGGGGGCCTGGTGGACTCAGATTTTTCACATCTCGCTCGGAGAATTTGATTTCGCGCCCCCTTTTGATTGAATTTTCATATTTCCTGTCAAATCTGTACAAGTGCACGAAACACATCATCTCCACCAAATAAATAAAATTAAAAGACAAAAAATGTAACTTAAGTGACCTCAATGTGGTACCTTTCGGCCTACATCACACCCCCCAACTTACATTTTGCTAGTCCTCAAGCAAAACAAAAGAAATAAGAAAAGTAAAATACTCTCAGTTACTTTCCTAGGGAACACGATTGGATTTAGCATATGCAACAAGCCTTTAAACCACAAGGTTACCCCAAGTGGACGAGTATAGTCTCGTGAGGGTTTTCAGAAATGATACCCACAAACATCAACATATTCAAATCCGCTCAACAGCAATTAACCACACTACTCCACACAACAACCAACTTATGTGCCACTACAGTGTGATATTAAAAACATGATGATTCATTAAAGGCATAGTGGACAAGTATGAAGGAATCTATTGAGCTTAAACCACAATTCAGTTAATACAAAAGTAGAGTCCTCTGTACTTGTGAATGCTAGTAGACACATCATTAGTACCCTCGGTGTAAAGTGCAATCACCATACTAGTTAACTGTCCACTATAATAGCCCAGTGTAACTCATAATAATACTCAACATATACAGAAAAACTAAACTGTTGCAACCAAGCTTCTCAATTTAATTTTTTTTTTTAATGAAAGACTGTGCAATATCCTGATCCATTAAGCTTTCTATTCAGCCCATGTAACAAACATTGGGCCAATGACTCACAAACCAGACGGTTTTAGGGCACTAGGTATAGAGACACCCCTACGGGCTTAATAACTCGAGCTGAAAAGGCTACGAATCCGAACTAGTCATTCTCTTTATTTGTCCTTAACTGTGCAATGTCTAGGTCTCTTAAGCTTTCTAATTAACCCATGTAGCAAGTATTGGGCCAATGACTCTCAAACCAGACGGTTTTAGGGCACTAGGTGTAGAGACACCCTTACGGGCTTAATAACTCGAGTTAAAGAGGCTACGAACCCAAACAAGTCCAGTTTGTTTTTTTTTTTTTTTTTTTTTAGAGAGAATCTTGGCTACTCATTTATTCTTTTCTGCAACCTCAACCATTATCAATGATGTACACCAGGGATTATAATAAAAAGGTCACTGCTATGATAGTGTGTTCATGTGAATTAAGGCATACTCATGACAAGTGTACTAATACCACAAACACAAACAGTACTAATACCACAAACACAAATAACTATCCTAGTGCAAATATCACATGTGAGTATTTACCCAATAAACCCTTTTCATACAAGCCCATTATGTTCCCCAATTAACATATGTTCATATCATTACCATACTGGCACAAAGTAAACATTAAGTGAAGTGGTGCAAATCAAGTGCAGCAAGTACATACATGAATATTTATTACAAATACCCTCACCCCCCCAATTGGAATATAACATTGTCCTCAATGTAAGCAAGTAGACATGAGATAGTAAAATGAGAGAGAGGATCTTACCAGACATCATGGGCGCACATCCAACGAGGCAAGGACACCCAAACACAGTTTTTGATTTTTTTTTTAAGTACATATAAAAGAGAAAGGAAAAGAAAATAAAACAAAATGAAATGAAAGAAAATAAAGGAAATATATAGAAATCACTGATGTGGATCTGGTGGTGGTGGGGGGAAATGCTGCTCAAATAGGGCATGCATCAGTATTTGAGTCTCGAATGCTTCATCATGAACCCTAGTTCCATGCTGATCAAATTGCCAATCAAACTGATCAAACCGCTGATCAAACTGATCAAACCGCTGCCCACTCGAATCCCGGTATGCATAGAAGTCAGTGTGCAAAGAGGCAACTGACTGCTGATACCCATCAAATGCCGCCCGTGAATAATCCCAGTCAGCCTGGTAGTCGTTTCGGAGATCAACTATAGATTGCTGAAGGGCGGCTTGATTATCCATAATAGCCTGATATTGCGCCCTCGTCATACGGAATGGCGGTGGTGCCGGCGCTGGTGCGGCTGCAGGCTCGACTGGGGTATCATTAGGATTTACCGGGGCCTCGGGAAGAACTAGTGGAGGCGGCAGGCGAGCAGTGGTTTGACGCCAGTGAGTTCTACCATAAAATAGGGGCGGCGGAAGCTGAACCTCAATGGCTTGCAGTGGGTATGTCCCTTGGGCTTTTATGAGCGCTGTAATGAGGTTGGCAAAAGGGAGGGCCCATGTAGAACTACCCCGTGTATTGCGGATTTTGACTTCATTTAGGATTCTATTCATCTAATTGTAGATCAAGGTAGGGATGTCAATCCAAAACCCGAGGTCAAACCGATGCAAAGTACGGAGGAGGTCCCCTCTCCGCTCTTCTTTGTGGCCAATAGGAATGACATTCTTTTTTAGGACCACATCGAGGAAGAGGAGGCGACGTGGTAAATTAGCCCGCCTGATGCGCGTACGGTTGTCATCCTCCTGACGCCCCTCATAAAACTCAGTCACCAATTCCGGGATGGTGAGTTCCCGAG